CCCCAAAACCCCAAAACCCCAAAACCCCAAAACCCCTCCAAATGAAATTATAATTGAAAATGGAAAAAGGCGAAAAAACTAAAATATCAATGAAGAGGAAGAGGAAGACACATGAAGAAGACAAAGAGACCCGAAGAAAGAGAAAAAATCGGGAAAAGATGCAAAGATACAGAGATATGCATAAAAAAGGGTATAAATGGTAATGGTCTCTCTTTCGCTGATTCTTTCTATGTTTGTTTCAATATTATTTATAAGATTAAGAATGAGCGTGAAACTTTAGCAGAAGAAAATGATCGATTGAATACTAAAATCTTGCAGTTAAATCAGCAAATAGACATTCTTACAAAGGAGAATGATATTCTGAGAGCAAACGTAAATATTTACTTGAGTGATTTCTGAGTGTTCATGTAGTTTGATTATTCTACTTCCTTTTTGATTCCTAAAGACTTATCTAATTTCAATAGTACTCTCATTTTATTAGTATTTTCAGCAGATTCATAACAAAAATTTATCTTAGACTCCTTTCAATATAAAGGCTCTAATCTAGTTAATTCCTGAATTTTATAGTTTTATAACTGCATGAATAAGAGATATAAATATTATAGATTTCTATTAATCATTGACTTCTTTATTTCAGAAGTTCATTTTTACCGGAAAATTCATATTTAGGAAGTAGTAAATAGCATTATTGAATCTTAATTTTTATGGGATGTCTTTATATTTATCATATCCTATGTTTAGAGTAAATTAGCAGGAATAATGAGTCAGAAAAGCTCAGCATTTGAGAATACAGGCACTTGTCCGGAAAATTCAACCATCAGTAATCAGACCTTATAAACCATCAAATGAAAATGCCAGCTCTTGAGAAAGTTTTTAAGAGAGAAGACCATTTCTGGAAGAACACTTTGCCTAAATTGATTGAGAAGAACCCTGAAAAAGTGAAGTTTACACTTATGGATCAGAACAAAGAACTCTCAGGCTTGAATGGGAAGACAAGAATGTCATTTCTTAAAACCCAGTTCAAAAACATAATCCAAAATGTGATCCCTTTCAGTGAACTGAGCTTATTATATAACTTTGATTCTATAACAATACCAGAGTGGGCAAAGCTTAGAGAGGAATTAGCCAAACCCATCCCTGATTTATCTAAAATAAAAGTTCCTTCTAACTTCAAAGAAACCAAGATCTCAAACCAGTTCACCAAATTTTTCACTATCCACGGAGAGAAAATCATCACTAACCTGAGAGAAATTCGAAACCAAATCAGAGAACTAGTAAATTGAATACTTTTAACCATAAAGGTCAAAGTAAGAAACAGAATGTTCAAGAGCATGAAGAAGATCAAAGAAATAGCAGTAAGCTCAGATTACAGGTAACCCAATCTTCTTTAATAAAGAATTATTTCAGAAAGAATTTTCACATAATCTTTTGACTCAAACTTCCTTATTGATGTAGTTATGACAAAATCGACCACATCGCTGCAAGAAAATAAGTGGGATCAATTAAAGCAAAAAGGAATAAACTTATTTAGTAATAAAATAAAAGTAACTTTATAGAAATTCTGAAAATTAACAAGAAAGATCCTTTTAAAGAATACACATCTGAAGTTGAAATGACAGAATTAGAGGACGAAGAAATGAAAACGGATTTTTAAATCCTCAAAAGTGGTGGGAATGATTAAAAGATAATAGATCCAAGAAAGAAAAGCTAAATAAATTTAGTCAGGATCTTAAATTAATTATTAATAAGAACTAATACCCTTCTTTTGATCTGAAAATACTTATTAATTACTATTTCCTAACTTAAACCCCTATTTCTAATGACATCTTCAATATTATTCAATAGGGCTATAGTCTAATGGGGTTTTGGGGTTTTGGGGTTTTGGGG